CGTTTCCCTGCCCGTTTTCCTTGTTGCAATCCGGGCAGTACCTCCTAGTGAAGCCCAGCTTGCCACAGGACGAGCACTTGATAGGTTGGGAGAAATCTATCTTTCTCCTCTGATCCTCTCGCCGCTGGCCAGAAGACCCAGGGGAGGGGGGGGGTTTACTCCTTCCCTTGTTTTGCGGCCGACCCCTTGGCCGCTTTGGGGAGTTAGCTTTCTTCTCCTTGAAGTACCGGTATCTGTCGCGTCGCAGCATCGCTACCTGTGACGACAGATCCTCAATGCGGTCTGTCGCCTGCGTCGCGGAGATTGAAGACCGGTGCTCGGGTGTCCTGGCCTGGCTCTTCACCGGTGACTCGGCTTGCAGCTGCTCCATACCCCAATGTTTGTTAGACATGGCAGCGGTCCGGGCTCCTGCCCTGGGCGGTGGTGCCTTCGCTGACACACCCATGTGCTCGGGGTATAGTGTGGACGTGGGCTCCAGCCTGGTCCTCGGGCGCTCGTCGTCCCGCATTGCGGTCTCGATTTCGGTTGCCCGGGCGTGAAACTCGTCCACACTGGAGAACGCGTTTCTCCGCAGCTGCATTCGGATGGCGGGTAGAAGATTTGCGTAAAACAAATCTAGTTATCGCTGCTCAGGCAACGGCTAGCGTAATTGGGCAAGCATAAAGAGGAGGTGGCAGGCGTATTCTCTTACCAACTCTCTCTTTTCCTGATACCGAGCTTGGGCCTCTTGCAGCAATCTCTGTTGCCGTAATTCGCTTGACCCAAACCAACGGCGAGCGCCAACTACGAAGTCGGCATAACTCCTCCACTTGAACTTATTGAGCTCGTACCATGTCCTCGCAACGCCTTCGAGGAGTTCTGATACAGAGCACAAAACTTCGCCGTCGGTTAGCCCGGAGCCCGCTCGTAAATCCTCTAATCTTGACAGGAACGTGTCCACGCATTCTGAAGCCGTACCCGAATATCGCAGCTTCCATGCTCGGACTATTATACCCACATCCCGAGTCATATAGAATCCTGACGCCGCATTAGTATCGTACCAGGCCGATTCATTGGAGATCGCCTGTCCTTCACCAATGTTGGCGTCAATTGGTCCTCTTCGCGGCGGCTGGTCTGTCCGCAGAGGCTCTTGCCTTTGAGGAGCCTCTCGAGGCTCACCAAGGGCCGGTCTCATGGGTTTCGGAGTGCTTCCTGGTACCCTCGGGTCGTAGTAGCACGTGTACGTGGACTGAAAGTCCACGGTTCTCCTGGGCCGCTCCTGTACGGCACTTTGCCGATCTGTGGGGTCCTTGCTCCTTAATTATTGGACCTCCACCTGTAGGGCTGTCACCTGGTCGCTCCACCGCGCACATACTTGATCGTGCCTCTCCAGCATCTCAAGTATGCGGTTAATCCCGACACGGTTGCGCTCGATTTCCTCTTTCAACCGCTCGGTCACGCACCGTTCCTCCTCGTCTTCTTGAGGGTGTAGCTCTTCGTTCTCGAAACGACGAGCTCTTCGCCTATCTGGCGATCCAGTGGAACCCTTACGTTCACTACCAATCCCTTCCGGGGGCCCACTGGCTACGCCGGTCTCAGTCTCCTCAACGGGCTCTCGCTCCCCAATCTCGCTCCGACTATCTTCATCGAGGTTGTCGAAGACGGCGAGAGTCCGCGTTAAGTTCGCCTCCACCGTCTCATCACTGCGTAACAGCATGAGTGGGTGGGCGATGAGATCCCCAGCATCAGCTGCCTCGAGTTCTTGGCGTCTGATCTCGAGCCATTTCTCTCGGCTTCTTCTCCTACGTTGCGCTGCGTCCCTGTCCAACGCGGCTCCTCGGAAGTCTTGGTCGATGTACTCGCCCAATAGCCAATATGCCAGCCGGACCGCTTGCATCAGCTTGGGGCCATCTGTGCGCAACTCCAACTGCGTCAGGTATCTGTCAAGCTGTGTAGAAGGCAGTTCCGATGCCCATCGGGTTATCGCATCGGCGGTATCGTCCAAACCGCCTACAACGGGCGTAGGTGACGGTTGAGGTTACTTTACCTATTCGACCACTACCGCCTTTTATCGTCCAAGGCGTGAGCGGGGTGTTGCAATTTTTAATTGACTGGCAACTATTTTAATACGCCTTCAATTACAAGGCAGCAATCCACGAGGCTCGTGGGCGTGTGCAGGTGCCGCGTAAACAAAGGAAGTAAGAACTTCCACTCGCAACTACCTACCTATAGGTGGAGACTAACTTTTTGCTAGCTCCACCGGGTTAGTAAAACTAATCCCGCACACACCCAAATTGCGTGCTCTGCACTTATTGTCGCTCTGTGACTAACCTTCACCTGAAAATACTCTAAGGTGTGGATAACCACTCAAAAAACCAATTTGTCACCTCTTTTTATTTTCTTTAGAGCGACTCAGGACGTCTCTTCGACCCCTGGTGTTAGTGTGCTCTCGGCTTACAAAAGCAATCGCTATTAGGTCAGAGAGACGTCTTTTCCCCACTGCAGAGCACGTGACGAACGAGCCACGTGTTCTTTACCCGCTCACACCTTAACATGCACGCGCGCAAACGTCTCTGTCTCCCGTGCGTCACTCACTCTTTGCGAACAAACCAAATCCCCTTGTGTAAGTCCTAAAAACTGTTGGGCGCCATGTAACAGGCTGCCGTATAGCCGCTTATCCCTAGCAAATATACTTATCACGACGGCAAACGGTGCTCCGTTAGCTGTTTGCTTCAAGCACATTTACTAACCTCGCTCCGGTGTACGCATGCGCCAAGTTCTTCCAGTGATCCAACTTGGGTGCGCAAACTCTCCGCTAGGGGCGCTGATGCGCTTGCTTACCAGCGCTCCATCCATCGGCCACTGCTGGCAACTCGGTTGACGAACAGCTCCTTCTATACTTTCGCGATCAGTGCTGGATTACCGGCGCGTTCGAATCGAATGTATACTATAACACAGACACCGGACAAAGGGTAGACGAAATAATAAGAACGTCTCTTATTGATCTTTAACCACTTTATTTAATCAAAACTTAACCTGTATAAGGGACGATTTGCCGAGAGTCTTACGCACGCTATTTCGACACAATAATTTGAATGGGGGAGAGAGAGAGTAGATCTCGCGGACGTCGCAGACTATTCGCACGCACGCTACCTATAAACTCACCGCACACGCTGCGCGGGATCGCACGCTAAACGTAATTAAAAAGTGCTGTGCACCTACCGCTGAATCGACGACGATACGGTGACAACCGTATCCGACTATATTAAAAGATGAAGAACTGCCTCTGCGGCTGCTTCTCCGTTGATGTTGTTGCGTTGCTGTAGATGCTGCCGAGGTTGAGATTGCTGCTGCCGGTGCAACACACGTTTCGCAGTGTGCACACTCGCCTCGTCACTCACTAATTATCTACGCAAACTCCCTGGATCTCACTCGGAAGGAAAAGAACACGTCGTTGCCTCTGACTCGATAAACTACGATGTAGGCGGACTGAAGAACACAGTCATACTGGCTCGCTAGCTCTCCCCTCCCGGTCATTGCCCCTAACGCGCCCTCTTTCTTTCTCTAACCCAAACCGATCACGTCTATTACGCTTAGCCACGCTTAGCAGTTCATGCAAGTCCTAACGGTTTTCGGCAATCGTTGCAACTCTTAGAAAAGGATATTCTTAGAAAAGCGTCCAGATCGAAAGAAGAATGTCGTTGAGGGTATCAGATTCTTTCAAAATCTTATTAAAAATGAATCGGTTAAATTAGAGGATGCTGTAATGGAATCCCATTGAAAAAAATTAATGTTTTTCTTTCATTTAATAGTTTTCTTAAATTTCCTATAAAAATTGAAAATAGATAAAAATTTTTTTTTTCACAAAATTAAAATTAAAATCAACATTGTTAGCAATAAAATCTTGAGAAAATGAGAATAAGAATTTTTTTCATTTTTTAAGACTATGCGCATGTAAGAGCAATAAAAGTGATCCCTCAATTTTTACAAAATTTAATCAAATAAAACAAAGTAGCGTCTCGTTGGATTTAATTTAAACTATGGGAGATTCTTGTAATTATGTTAAACTCTAAAACACATAAAATCATTGCTTCATGTTATTCTACGAATTTAACGCACGGTTTTTGAAAAACCCACCAAAAGCCCTTTTTTCTTGTTTTTTCAAATTCATGTAAAGCATGTAAAATATATTTTTATTGAAAAACGAATCACCCATTTTTCTACAGGTTTCATTTAAGTTTTAAAACCCATCTACTATTTTCTATGCGATCATTTGGTTGAGAGATATCGATGATCAAAAGCAAAATGATCTTCTTTTCATTTAAACTCCGATATCTCTAAGACAAATTGTCATCTCAAGTTCTACGACCTCACGAATTAAAGCTGAATGAAAAGCTATCTAGTTAGACAAATCGTTTATATAAAAAAATTTTATCTCTATATTTCATAAACTAGAGATTTCAAGCTGCAATTAGCTTTTTTCAAATTTTTTATATGATTATTTTTAATAAAGATTAAATGTGATCGCAGATATTTGAAAAATCACTAAAAATAGGGTTTTTTTTAATCCTTATATTTTTCTGCTAGTATAGGAAAAACATCCTTATACGTCTGTTTAATTAAGGATATCTAAATAAGGATACTTAAAATAATGGTATCTTCGAATTCGAATTCTCCACAAATATTACTTTAGAAGTAACCCTCAGTTGGCCAAGAAGAAAATCATGCAAACCTATGTTATTTAGTAAGACTGAAAAATCTAACATAGGAGAGAAGGATTGGAAAATTAGTATATCTTTACCTATTTTTAAAGTTGCGCGAAGTAATATTAATATAGATTATGTGTATTGAAATGCTATAAATGAGCTCATCAAAAATGAGGGTTTCCATTCAAAAAGTAAGGTTGACCTTGAAATGACTTTGAGGGTGGGGTGGGGAGGTTTTCGGACCCTATAAATATCCCAATTATCGTTTTTATTTTCAAAAATATACTTAATCCAATTATGATTATTTTGTTTCAGCATATTCAACGCTGTCAAAATGAAATAGACATTATTGAAATCACATTATTTAAGAACAGTGACGGCTTCGGATTTAGTATTACTGGAGGAAAAGATAATCAACATATTCCCAGCGATAATGGGATATTTGTTACGAAAATATTAGAAGGAGGCGTTGCATTTTTAGATGGTCGTCTTAAAGTTGGAGATAAAATTATTGGTATCAAAAATGCCGACGTAAGGTTCAAAAACAATGAAATTCTTTTTTAATATTGCTATTATTTTAGTGAATCAATGTTAAAAAGTAGTTTAATTTTCTCAATAGCCTTTAGTTGATAAATTATGGGGACCATAATTTATGGAGATTTTAGCTTATGCGAGATGAATTCTGGTCCATACGTACCTCAAATTTTCGCTACATATTTTAGCTTAGAGCTTTCAGTAAAAACAATTGAGCCAACCTCTGATCTGATTTTAGATCGTTTTTGATTTTCGTATGTTTCAGATGAGGTGTTTGAAATCTTTTTGCTTAGAGCACAGATACATATTTTAAATTCACAGTTTTTTATTCTGTGTATGTAATCGCTACTAGTAGAGTTTGATATAAATCAGTAAGAAGTAATTACAACAAACGAATTGAACAGTTTGCTACTTATGATGTCAACTATTTAATTACCAGATACTGCAAGGCATGTAATCAAATTAAATACAGGTTTTTTCCACAAGCGAAGATCGAATGAACGCTAACTAAGAGTAATCATCGATCTTGATAATTAATTTGTAACAAAAGCTCGTTCGTTAACCATTATTTAAAGGTGGGCAAGTGAGGCGCACTCGCTCATAGCAATTGAGGCGGGAAGGGGGAAGAGGCAAAGAAATGAAAGTGGTTAATAAATTATACACACATAACACAAATTCGCATTTTAACAAATCTAATCAAATCAAATAAAAGTTACATTATACTTGAACTTCGCAATACCGTACATTAACAAATCGCATAAGAATAAGCCACATCACACGAACTCTTAATCTAATAAAAACAAACGACGTTCTTAACACCTATTACAAAAGAGAACAAGTTAACTAACTAATCACGCTTACTAATCTGTACAAAACACGACGCGCGTCGCCCGGAAGATGACTGCCTTGAGGACAAACCGACTTAGATTATTTAGCCAAAAGAGAAAGTCGCCCGGCGAGGGATCGCCTGGACGATTGCTCTTTGAGCGATTTATGACACCGACCGTAATAAGGGCAGGTAGCCGGCGTGTGCACGCCTTGCTACCTACCTCCTTAAAATTACGCACTGTGCCATCGTCGAAGAGAGAGAAAGAGAGCGAGAGAAATTAATTTGCGAACTTGACCTTTGATGCTGGAACGGGAGTCCTGGCTGCGCCCTGCGCACGATGGTGCAAGTCGTCGCTGGGCAACTCGTGCCGGCTTCCCAAGTAGTGTCTCGAGCAGATGCAGGACGAAGTCGTCTTCTCCTCTCGGTTTTCTTCTCTGCCCTTTGTCCTCGGCTGCACTTCTGACTTTTTCACCGCTGGCCGTCTACCGTCTTACTCTGGTCGACTCGGAGAAACCTCCTTACTCGCTACTCGACTTACTACCGTCTGCCGCTTGTTTTTCCTTGCGATCTACAGCTTCTTCATCGATCTTTTCTCTTCCCACTTGACCTACTTATTGGGCGGCGCGCGACCAATGCGCTAATTGGTTCGAAACGTGCGCCTGCCTAATCTTGCGTAAGGCACGCACGCCCCCGACTATTTCTCTCTCTCTCTCTCTAACACCTCTATACTCTCTGTCGCCAGCGTAGCAACTTCGGGCCTGCTCGGCCCCGCTCGGCAATCTCCGTTAGCTGAAACAGAGACCATGCATTAGATGCATTCTTAAATGCGCTTAACGCTGGTCACCGCACCTTGCCGAGAGAGAGGGGAATTTGGGAAAATTCCGACGAGAACAAGCGCAACGCTTGCTCTCGTCCCAAATAAGAAGCAGCAAATAAATATAATTATTCCATATTTTAATAATACAGCATTATTAAGAGACCAAAAGTTTTAGTCTCACACAAGGACGTAAATAAACACTCTGCCATAGCTACTGAACACGATAGAGAATGAGAGAGAGAATATAAACAATACTTCGTAGGCTATCCGTGAACTAAGAAAACACCGGTACATATCAATGCACGAAATAATACTCGCAATATATCAGCAGATATCTACTCATTGATGGACGTTGGCGCTGTAGTCGAGAATACTAATCAATGAGGAGTGGATAAGGCTTAGAGATGCGTATAAGCGAGGTGCGGTTGCTGATGCTGCTGCTACGGCTCTTGCGTCGTTCTTCGATCCGAAAAACAGTGCTTTTTAGTTTTTAATGCTCGTTGTACTTTCGTACATACAGAATGATATAATTCCTTACAAATACCAACCATTCGAAAGATAAAGTTCACTTGTCAAAAATAGCAAGGCTGTCATAACAAAAGAAGATAGAGAGGCCTTAGTGCTTTCTCCTTCCAGAATGATCTAATTTGAATTTATTGTCACTGAATAGAAAGTGAACAATTTATCTCCCTGATTTGTCATCTTGAATGTTTTCTACATAATGTAGTTTATAAGAATCACGAAATTTAGAATGCACGAGATTATGATCTTCAATGTTCTAAATTTTCTCAAGCAGTCGATCTAATTTCATGATATTGCAAGATGAATCTCCTGCTACTACCTAACCAAACATGGTTTTTTGAAGAACGATCTGAGATCTTTTATGACTTTGACAAAATTATTTGAATAGTGTTACTATCATCTGCTCCAATATTAATAATTCAAGTCACTTTAGGTATTTTTAATTTATTAGAAAATTTTTCAGTTATTAGATTGACAGTATGATAAAAATCTAGGAAAGTTTTTGCTATGCAATAATTTTCTCAATTACTTTGAAACTCTATGACTGCTGTAATTATTAATTGAGAATCAGAGGGTGAAAAGCGTGGATTCACTTTACGCGAATTCACTCCATAGAACGTAGGCTTTTTTAGCTGCCGAGCGGCCTCGAACTCGGGCGATCTCCAAGCTTCACGGGCACCCCATACGTCCGCGCTTTTATTGTATGATATTTAGTTCTAAAAGGACCGCGCGAAATTGGGATCTAGATTTACAGGTTTTATTGTTCCCTATCGAGTTAATGACGAATACCGAAACCGAATAATCGCAAGAGGGAATTCGGGTATAGACTTAATAAATTGAGAAACACGTATTGAATATGTAAGTTTCTCGTTTTATTAGATAGCAACAATAAACAAGAAAAATCAGAATTTTATAAATTTAGTTATTTCAAAAAAGTATAAAGTTCGCCGTGCTATGTCTATTACAAGAAACATTTAGTTGGTATTCACTTTTTTAATTGAGATTCTTTTTTGATAATCGGTATTTATGTTTTTTTTATTTGTTGGTCCAACGTCCTTTTGCACGAGTTCAATAAATCCAATGTGCTGAATAAATCGAATCAAATCTAGGAACCAAATCAATATAGCAGGATACGATGTGCCGCAGGGCTCTCACCTGGGTGCTCTATTATTTATCATTTTGATTAATGACGCTTATTCTGTCATAAAATTCTCGAAATTCACTTTTTACGCGGATGATGCAAAGTTGTTTAGATTGGTATCCACTTGCAACGATGCAATGGAGATACAAGCCGAGCTTCAAAGGTTCCATGATTGGTGTGAAGTTAATGGCCTATTATAAGTGTGCAATTTTGTCTTTATCACGTAACAGGGTATCAGTTGAATATTAGTATTTCTTTGGTTCGGATGCAGTTAACAGAGTTGATGAGTTCAGGGACTTGGATGTCGTGTTTGACGCCAGTCTTAACTTTCGTTCTCATATTAGCCAATCCAGCGTATCGGCTTCGCGAGCTCTCGCAGCGATAGTTAGACAGTGCCGTTCTTTCAGTCAACCAGACTCTATGATTGCTCTGTATTGTGCTCTTGTGCGGTGTAAGCTCACATATGCATGTATAATATGGACTTCTCAATATGATTACTCTTCCAATGCACTAGAGATTGTGCAGCATCGTTTTTTGCGTTTTCTCACTAACAAATTTGGTCAACGTATGAACGTGTATTCTCATGACTACAAAATTCAATATTTGCTCTGTTACATCTTTTATTATATATCAGTCGGCATTGTTTATATATAAACTATGTTACAATTTCAGTGATTAATGCTTCCTTCACGATCGGATCTTGTACGAGGTGTGTTCAAAAAGTACCCGGAATTATCGTTTTTCCAAAAAAATATTTATTTATTCGTTTACATCAATATGGTCTCCTTCAAAGTAATCCCCCCCAGATATAATACACTTATGCCAGCGTTTTTTCCAATCTTCGAAGCACTCTTGATATTCACTTTTTGGTATGTCCTTGAGCACTCTCAGCGATTCGGCCTTTATTTCTTCAATCGAGGAAAAACGCCATCTTTTCATGGGTTTCTTCAACTTTGGGAACAGGAAAAAGTTACACAGAGCCATATCTGGTGAATATGGAGGTTGGGGAATGACTACGGTATTGTTTTTGGCCAAAAAATTACGAGCAAGCAACAACGAGTGAGCAGGTGCGTTATCGTGATGCAAAAGCCATGAATTGTTTTTCCATAAATCGGGGCGTTTTTTTCGGATTACTTTACGCAAACGTCGCATAACTTCAAGGTAATACTCCTTATTAACCGTACGACCTTGTGATAACAACTCATGATGCACCATGGCCCTGCAGTCAATGAAAACTGTAAGCAAAACCTTCACATTTGATCGAACTTGACGTGCTTTTTTCGCTCTTAGTGACGTTGAATGCTTCCAGGTGGACGATTGTGCTTTGATTTCGACATCATAACCGTACACCCATGTTCCATCACCAGTTATGACCCTTTCAAGCAAACTTGGATCGTCGTTAACGTCGTTTAACAGCTTCTGAGCGTTGTTCATGCGATTGTTTTGTTGGTCAAAGTTCAGTAGTTTTGGAATGAATTTTGCTGCCACCCGTTTCATGCCCAAAACATTTGAAAAAATGTTATGACATGAGCCAATTGATATGCCAACTTCATCAGCAACTTCTCTAATTGTGATTCGGCGATCATTCAGAACCATTTTTTCCACTTTTTTCACATTTTCATCGATTGTTGACGTGCTGGGTCGACCGAAGCGTTCGTCATCTTCAACGTCTTCGCGGCCATCTTGGT